TAACTACATGTTGCACAAACAATGCTACTCATACTACAGCAGCTGGACTTGGAAACTGTCATCCACCATATTCACCAGTCCTTGTACCAACTGACTACCACTTCTTACAAGAAAAATATTCAATTCTCAACAAGCTGTGGAAAGTACCTTTAGCTATTTCATCACCACCTCACTCTCCAGGCTTCTCTGCTGCTGGCATAAACAAGCTACCATTAAGATGACAAAACTGTGTCAATAGTTGAGACACATACTTCGATGAATTGTACTGTTGCTTGTTTGAGATATAATAAACTAAACTTCGATTCAAAATCGGAAAGTTCATATTTAATGACCTAATAGAAAAGGGTGGATGAAGCGCTTGCCTTTGACCATATTTTTGTAACACTATTTAGCACAAATCTAGTGGCATTTGTGAATGTATATTGCATTTAATAATACACACTCCCTAACCATGAAAGGCTTATCTAGATGTGATGAGAGGTTAAGACGATGATGACGGGGGAGGGAGGAAAGACTTGCAGATTGATTTCGAAGGTATTGTCAATTTTGCAGTCTTTTTGTTTTTTTTTTTTAAATGAAGTAGCCAGAGTTTCTGGTTTAGAAGAGTTTGTGATTGGAATTGCCACCAACCAAGTAGGGAACCTGAGGGAGAAAGACTGAATCTGGGCAACCTGCTGGTCACTATAAAGAGAGAGGAGTGAAAAGAACTGGAGCAAGATTTAGTTCAGAGCACGGCTTGGCCACTTCTGGAAAATCATGTTCTCTTTATTTCTTTACTTATAAAAGTAGGGTAATAACTGCTTTAAAAATTGTCAAAATTAAGTGTGGTAGGCATATAAGTACCAAGTGCAGTGTCCCATACAGTGTAGACACTAACCAGTTAACAGGACTAAGAGAGTTCAGTATATTATCCAGGTCCAGAGACGTCTGACTCAAGTGTTAAGTCTTAGCTTTTTAATGACATTCCTCATTAAGTAAAAAAGTAGCTGTCTTAGTTTATTCACACTGCTGTAACTGCATACCATAGGCGGAATGGCTTATAAGCAACAAATTTATTTCTCATAGTTCTGGAGGCTGAGAAGTCCAAACTAAGGCAGTGGCAGGTTCAGTGTCTGTTGATGGCACCTGTAAGCTGCATCCTCACATGGTAGAAAAGGGCAAGGCAGCTTTCTAGGACTCTTATAAGGATGCTAATCCTGTTCTTAAGGGCTCTGCCCTTGTGACCTAATCAACTTGCTAATACCATCACATTGGTGATTAGATTTCAACATGTGAATTTGAGGGATGCACAAACATTCAGACCATAGCAGTGGCATTTTAATTGCTGCCAGCCTCTTGAGAACTTAAATACTGTAAGTCAGTATTAGGTTGAGTTTCTAACTCTGGAAAGCTAAAGCTTACCCCCTGGAACCTAATGCCCTTGTAGAGGTTTTTCTATTTCCTAAAGACCCTTGACAGCAAATGATGTTTTGCTTGCTTCTGCTGGATTCTGTGGCATTCTAACTTATCTTTTTTGGCAAACAAGAACTACATGGTACAGTTTTACATATATAGTGCTCTATAAATAGCAACCCCAACTAGGAATAGTGTAACATAAGATTCTGTTTAGATATTTTTGGTCTTGGTAATGAATCATATCATTGGATCCAATAAAAACAGTTGGGTAAAGAGTAAAAAATAGATTGAATTGGAAGCAGAGAAAAGAAAGCATATTAAATCTTTTTACCTCCAGTAGAAAATGGTCACAGCTATATTGTAATTTTGAGCCAAAGATAGAATAATGGTATAGAAAGAGTTCATTTTGAAGTTCAGTACATTCTCCACGATAGCATTGTATCCACTGTGGTCAGTTCAGAAACAGTTACTTCTGCATTATGGTTGAAATAAATTACAACATTAATATTTGATTTAACATTTTTAAGGAAAATTGGCTTTAAAATAATGAGACCCAGAAGCAATAGCTGGAGGCTATACTTGACTGTACAAATACTAGTCCTTATAAGAAATATTAAACCTGAAGACTATGCCTTAACAGCTGAGACTCTAAAACCTTGCTGTTGATTCCCATCTGTTAATGATCAAGATTAAGAAACATGACTAAAACCAACTGCTCATGGGTTTGTTGAATGTTTTATTTATATTGAGAGTCATAAATTCAAATGTTGGTATGAGGACCAGACAGGTAAAGTAATTGTGTGAAGCACAGTGCAGTGTGAGCAAATGAAATGGCCTTAGGTGTTGCAGCTCAACTGTAGTCAGTTGTTGCCGTAGGAGAGTACATTGCTATGTGTTGCAGGCTCTTTAATTAAGATTAAAAACTATGTGGCCCAAATAAAACAGACATGTCCATGTGCCATGTTTTTTTCAGGGAAGGGTTTTTAATCTGTTTCATTCACTGCTGTATCCCTAGGCTGCCAAATGAATTCAGCCTGCAGACTTCAAATTTGCAACTTCTGATTTGTGTGTAACAAATGTTGTATTCTTAATCATCTGGAGAAAGTAATGCTATAATCTTAAAGACTGAAAGATTAGGCAGTGAGTGTTAACCTTTTGCTGTCATTTTATAGAAATGTTATCAGAAAGTTAAATATCATACCTCAGTCTGTTTTTAGGCCAGGGTTTATTCATTGTGACTTTTGTTAATGCACTGGTTTTCCTTTTACTAACTGCACATTGTAATTGACCATTTGTTTCTTATTCCTTATTAAACTTCCATATCGGGGAATGTATGATGGGTTTGATTTTTATATCACATTTCTGATGACATTAGGACGGCCCAATGCCTGGGAAGTTCATAGATCTAAAAAGGAATGGAATTTCCTTTTTAATTTGTAAAGGAGTTCCCCCAACCTTAAGGTGACAGTCATTCTTATTACAAACATACATTCTGGGTTGTTTTGTTTTTTTTTAATAGTTGCAGTTATATCAGTTCTACATGCCATTCTAAAAATGTGTACCATTAAATATTAACACAGCTGATAATTATACCCAGGAATAAGTTCTTTTTAAAATGAAAGCTGTAGTGTATTTCTTTTGTGTTGTTTGTTTGTTTGTTTTTTATTTTATTTTATTTTTGAGACAAGACTTGCTTTGTTGCCCAGGCTAGAGTGAGTGCCGTGGCCTCAGCCTAGCTCACAGCAATCTCAAACTCCTGGGCTCAACCAATCCTCCTGCCTCAGCCTCCCAAGTAGCTGGGACTACAGGCATGCGCCACCATGTCCGGCTAATTTTTTCTATATATATTACTTGGCCAATTAATTTCTTTCTATTTATAGTAGAGATGGGGTCTCACTCTTGCTCAGGCTGGTTTTGAACTCCTGACCTTGAGCAATCCATCCGCCTGGGCCTCCCAAAGTACTAGGATTACAGGCGTGTGCCACTGCGCCCGGCCACTGTAGTGTATTTCTTGACTATATTTGGATCTTTAAAAGCAGAATTTAGGAGAGTTAGTTGCAACAAATTTATGGAATTGCATGTATTAACTCCCCTACCTTTTGAAATATTGAAGTATGATTATCTTAGTTTCAGAAGTTTGTTTCAAAGCTATGTTTTTTCAATGTAGTAACATTTCTTAAAGCTAAGCAAGTTATATAAGAGAAAAGCCCCTCTGTCCCTTATTCTGTGCTCACTGCACTAGCTTATGCCAGGCTGAGACCATCGTTATGGGAGGGGCACTGTGGGATGATCGAAGAACTTTGTCTTTGAGTTCAGTGAACTGCAATCAGCTGGCTTTCTGTATTTAACATCTTTAACCTTTGACCAGTTAACCTTTTTTGACTTGATTTGGGTCATCTATGAAGTAGAGGTGGTAACAAATTCAAGAGAGTTGTAATGATTTTTTTTTTTTTTTTTTGAGACACAGTCTTGCTCTGTTGCCTGGGCTAGAGTGCTGTGGCGTCAGCCTAGCTCACAGCAACCTCAAACTCCTGGGCTCAAGCAATCCTTCTGCCTCAGCCTCTCGAGTAGCTGGGACTACAGGCATGCGTCTCTATGCCTGGCTAATTTTTTCTATATAGATTTTTAGTTGTCTAGCTAATATTTATTTATTTATTTACTTACTTCTTACTTACTTACTTACTTACTTACAGTCTCACTGTGTTGCCCAGGCTAGAGTGAGTGCCATGGCATCAGCCTAGCTCACAGCAGCCTCAAACTCCTGGGCTCAAGCAATCCTCCTGCCTCAGGCTCCCAAGTAGCTAGGACTACAGGCATGCGCCACCATGCCCAGCTAATTTTTTCTATATATATGTTAGTTAGCCAATTTCTTTCTATTTATAGTAGAGACAGGGTCTCACTCTTGTTCAGGCTGGTTTTGAACTCCTGGCTGTGAGTAATCCACCAGCCTCGGCCTCCCAGAGTGCTAGGATTACAGGCATGAGCCACCATGCCCGGCTGTGATGATTTTGAAATAAGTACCTTGTACGGTGTTCCCTGGACCTAAACTCAGACTTACTAAAGTTAGTGCCATCTCCCTATGCAGTTGTTAGGTGCACCTGGGGACCACAGACGCACTTATCTCATGCTCTCAAACCAGACTACCATCTTATTTTCTAACTGCCCTTTTTTCTACTTACCTGATCATCCCACTCATAATACCCTACATGTCTTTCTCAAATTACACATGCTCAGAATGTGTACTTAACACTTATGCTAAACCATTTTTTCTCACCTCTCTGCCAGTGCTTTATATAATAGTATCACTCATTTTCTAAAATTCTACTTTCAGCTCCATTTCCAATCAAAAGAGAAGTGATACCATTCCTTGGCCTTGCCTAAGTATATGTACTTCCTTGGTTCACTGCTTCTAGAATGTTCTTAGGTTGGGTATTCCTGTTTATTCGTTCAGTTCATGAATTTTTGTTCAGGGTCAGCTGTTTAATACAATGAGTAGTACATCAGAGATTACATAAATAGAAATTGTTCTCTATGATACCCCTTCAGTAGGTGCTAACAAATGGTTTTTTATAATGCATTTATTATCATTTTCCATTTGCTCCTAGGTTTTTAGAACTTCATTTATAAAAATGGGCAGAATTTTCCTTGATCATATTGGTGGTACCCGTCTGTTTTCTTGTGCAAACTGTGATACGATCCTGACCAACCGTTCGGAACTCATCTCCACTCGATTCACAGGTGCCACTGGCAGAGCATTTCTTTTTAACAAGGTTAGTGAGAAAAAGTTTCATTCCTAACTGTGTTAAGTGGATATATTTGACAGTAACAATATAATTCTCCCCTCAAACCTTAGAGATACCGGAAAGAATCCGAATGAGAGCTGAAATCTTTAGAAATGATTGCTAACTAGCTTGTCTTTGGGACCTCAGGAAGGTATTACTAGAATGTGATTTTTAACCTTAAAAGTTTAAAGAATATGTTATCAGCAGCATGGTCTCTATTGCCTCAGAAAATGTTCAGTGTAAGAATTTTATAGTGACTTCACCACAGACAATGGAAGGATCAAGACACCCACCTCCCTTTCCTGCATGTCACTGATATATCCATTTAGGATGATAGCTACATTAACCTATTATAACTTTACAGTGAAAGTGAGTAAGGGTCATCTAACAACTTGTCTTTCCCTAATTCAGGTTCGCCAATCCTTTTATTATTTTTTAATTAATTTTTTTTTTTGAGACAGTCTTGCTTTGTTGCCCAGGCTAGAGTGAGTGCCGTCGCGTCAGCCTAGCTCACAGCAACCTCAAACTCCTGGGCTCAAACAATCCTTCTGCCTCAGCCTCCCAAGTAGCTGGGACTACAGGCATGCGCACCATGCCCAGCTAATTTTTTCTATATATATTAGTTGGCCAATTAATTTCTTTCTATTTATAGTAGAGATGGGGTCTTGCTCTTGCTCAGGCTGGTTTCAGACTCCTGACCTCGAGCATCCCGCCTGTCAAGGCCTCCAAGAGTGCTAGGATTACAGGCATGTGCCACTATGCCCAGCTAATTTTTTCTATATATATTAATTGGCCAATTAATTTTTCTATTTATAGTAGAGATGGGGTACCACTCTTGCTCAGGCTGGTTTCGAATGAGCATCCCGCCCGCCTGGGCCTCCCAGAGTGCTAGGATTACAGGCATGCGCCGCCGGGTCCGGCCTATTTTTAAATTTTATTTATTTATACATTTTTATTTATATATTTAATTTTTTTTTTTTTTTACCGACCACTCATTCATCATTCATCACCAATCCTTTTGATTATGGTTTGGCTTGTTACATAGGTTTGCCAACAGGAGGAACATTTTATGACTTTGCAAATATTTCCAATCTGCCTTTGTAATTTCTGGCTTGCTTTGAAATTGGTTGATGTGATTCTGCCTCCTGGAGTCTAATAATATAATAACAAAGTTGAATTGCCAATTCTCTTAGGCTAAGAAACATGGCTAGTCTGGGGTACTATTCTTAGAATGTCAGACAGATTTCCCCAGTAGGCTCTTGTTTCAAGTAGAAACAAGCTTTTCTCTCAGAGAATTGCTAGTGTTGTATATTCCTTGACCTTTATTAGATGAAAAGTACAGGGGTTGTCACAGTACAGCAGGCCAGCTGCCTGTTTTTATAAATAAAATGTAATGGAATACAGCCTATGTTGTTCATTTATGTATTGTCTATGGCTGCTTTCATGCTGCAACTCCACGGTTAAATAGTTGCAAGAAAGACCATACAGCACTCAAAGCCAAAAGTACTATCAATCTCTTTACAGAAAAGTAAAGTGTGTAGAGGGTTGTTGAGTATTCAGAATCATTGGAAAGTCTTCATAGATTGCCTTAGAACCCACTTCATGTGTTCATTGTCTTTGAACTCACTTAAAAATTATGCATTACAGTGTATGGTCTTAGTCTTAGTAGGCTTAGTCTATCCCAGTCTATATAAAATGTATTTTAAGGAACAAATTGACAAACTCTTTTAGGGAATACCTATGGTGTACTAGGTTGTTTTACATTGATTGTCTTATTTGCATTCATCATTGTATAGAAATGGTAACAATTAGACCCAAACCTACAATTCAGGACTCCAAATTCAGGACTCCTTCACTACAGCACAGTAATGTACCTAGTGTGTGTACATAGTGTGACTTGGGCTATAGTACAATACTGTATGATTGGATTAGATACCCAGCACAGTGCCATTTCCAGATGTTTGTCCCAGAGGATTCTAAAATTAGCTCTTGGGAAGGGTATTATAGGTTTTTATAGGTTTGACTAAAGCAACAACTTTGCTGTCTCCTTTTCTGAGTTGCTGTTAGTACACCAGCCATAATATTGTGTGTTTATTTGGCAAATAATTTATGTGCCTTTGCAATTTTGTTTTTACATGTTTCTTAGGTAGTTAACCTGCAGTACAGTGAAGTTCAAGATCGGGTCATGCTCACTGGCCGCCACATGGTTCGAGATGTGAGCTGCAAAAACTGCAATAGCAAACTGGGATGGATCTATGAGTTTGCCACTGAAGACAGCCAGCGTTATAAGGAAGGCCGTGTGATCCTGGAACGTGCTCTAGTTCGAGAGAGTGAGGGCTTTGAGGAGCATGTACCATCTGATAACTCTTGAAGAAAAAGAGATAAATCCATCTTTTCCCAGGTCTCCTTCACTGAAATCAAAAATCTACTTACATACACTGTCACCTTAGCATCAGAGTCGGATTCATGAACTGCGGAACAAGAGGTTGTGAGAATCTAAGATGGAACCTTTCTTTCTTTTTCTTTTTTTTTTTTTGTTTAATTTTGTATTTTCCATCCAACAGCAGTGTGTAGAGAGAATATTATGCAGATGCCGTTAATTTTTTTTCCCTATGTTTACATCTTGAAGCAGAAGAGTCTGTCTGCGGCTACTTGGTGGGCTATGTAAGGAAAAAAATCTGGGCTATTAGAGAGAAAAAGTGTGTTTTATGTAAATTTTAAAAGGAAAATATGTCAAGAGCATGGTTTTTAAACTTACTTGGGCTTCATTTAAAAAAATTTTTTTTTAAACCCAGTTATTTCACTTGATTTGCTAGCTTCAGAGAAGAGATCCGAATCTGTGCCCAGTGCGAAAGGCTCAGTGTTAGCATGGCTTGTGCTGGCCAGTGTGCCATATTCTTGTTGGAGATGAACCGTAGCACCAGAGCCCATTCTTCCTTGTCAGTCTTGACCCAAAGATGTCACCATTCCTAGTTATTTGTCACCACATAATTGGTGTTGATTTGAAACATTTTCTGAAATGGGCAGAACTGCTTGGTTGTCTTTTTTCCATGTAACTTAAGCATAGTAATATAAATAAAGTAATAGTTGGATGTTTTTGGTCTTGTGTTGTTTTCAAAAACACCTTATGAAAGAGCAGAGTATCTGATAAGCAATTTCCATAGTAGTTAAGTGTTTCTTTTAATATCTTAAGCCAATCAACTATATGATATTCTTTGTTTAAATGAAAGCATATTGTTTAGACCCACAGTATTACATTTAGAAAACAGTTGAACAGAATGTCAGTGTGTATTCATGCAGAACGCATTTAATCTGAATCTGTTTTAAAACGGGGGTTGAAGCAGCTTATCTAAAAATACTGCTTTACAAAGCATTTCAACCTTATTCCCCTCAGTTTTGCATTTTTCACAAGTCTGTAGAGCCAAATAGTTTAATCAAAGGACTAGATCTCTAATTAGCATTGTTTTTCAGCTCCTCCCTCAGAAGTTCAGTTATCAAAATCAAAACTCTACTTGATACCCTCAAATGGAAAGAGATCAAATTTGACTCAGTGCTATTTTAGCACCAAATTTATGACATTATGAAGTAATAAAATGTAAATATTTCTTTATCCAAACTACTTCTACATATTCATAGTATTTGCTTTTGGTGTAATAAATGACAGTAAAATTGGCTAATTATTTAAATGAAAGAATGCATGTTTGCATGCTCAGTTTCTAGGTCTTTTGTCTAGAAGGGAAATTTACCTCAGTTGAATTTGAAATCTGTCGTTGATGTTAGAAGTGACTTCTGAGTGCAGTTAATTGTTCCTCTTTACTTGCCTTTGGGCTCTTGGTTAGAGGCATAGTTATCTGATGAAGTAGGTATAATATATTGCATTTGAAATAAGTGGACACAAATTCTTCCCTGTCCTCCGTCCACCATGGACTAAATCTAAGAACCTACATTCATTTCCATTTCATCCATACTGGCCTTCGACTATATGCAGATTCCTAGTAGCATGCCTTATCTACAGCACTATGTGCATTGTTGTCACAATAAAGTGTATTTTGTCTTGCATTGGTGCAGTATTGCTACTTATTTTCCACTGATCTGATCTAGTGATCATCTTAATTTTTATCTCTAAACACAGACTATAGATCCCTATGAGTGGTTATAGCCTTCTTCACTTGGCAGTGATAATGACATTCTGACTTCTCTCTGCCGAATTTACACATGAAGACATTGAATTTACCAATATTAACTTCTCGGAGATTGTTTTGCCTGAGACACTGGCAAGTATAAAGTATATTTCAATATATGTGAACAAATAGGTGTCATATTGCTAGGTTAACTTTTAAGTGATTGGCACATATAGTAATGAGCTATACCTGCATTTTAAAAGCTATTTAGGCCGGGCGTGGTGGCTCACGCCTGTAATCCTAGCACTCTGGGAGGCTGAGGCGGGCAGATTGCTTAAGGTCAGGAGTTCGAAACCAGCCTGAGCAAGAGTGAGACCCGGGTCTCTACTATAAGTAGAAAGAAATTAATTGGCCAACTAACATATATAGAAAAAATTAACCGGGCGTGGTGGCGCATGCCTGTAGTCCCAGCTACTTGGGAGGCTGAGGCAGGATTGCTTGAGCCCAGGAGTTTGAGGTTGCTGTGAGCTAGGCTAGGCTGATGCCACGGCACTCACTCTAGCCTGGACAACAAAGTGAGACTCTGTCTCAAAAAAATAAATAAAAGCTATTTAATTTGGAAAAAAAATCAATATCGGAAGACCCATTTAGATTGGGTTGTTTACAGAAAAACAAACATTGTTCCTATGAGATGGGAACACTAATAGAATGGTTTTACTTTGGGGTGGGAAAGCTAACTAACCAAGTATAGATGAACTTACTACATAATAACTGGGTCACTGAGGGGTATACAGATCTAAGCTTTTCCCCCTTGATTGAAAATGAGAATACTACCTCCTAGTTTTAGGTTACAGTGACCATAACTTGTTTTGATCTTAAAGGTGCGTTTATTTAGAGACCCTGAGGTGAATTCTGGGTTTAAAATGTTACAAATGATGTAATGATTTGTTACAGTTGTGATTAGCTACTTTGGGATTGGAAGGAAAAAGTATCAGTACCATCTGTTTCCTAAATTTATCTCTTCATAAAAGTCATAGGGATGTTTAAATTGTTGTCTGGGCCCTGCAGCCCAGGCTTAAGTCATTCTACAGGTAATTTTTGGTGGGACAGAATTGACAAACCACCAGTTGGAAAATATTCAGAGACATGTTTATGATGGTTCATTTCCAAAACAAGTATATAAAAATATCTCAGTTGAAACAGATATCCACTAATTGCTTATTATCTTTTTAACACTTGCTTCCCACTAAGGGCCATATGAAACTTCTAATGTAGGTAAGGTGTTAGTTGGAAATAGAGCAAGAATAAACTAAAAAACTCCTGTTAGGATAGCATTTTGCACTGATATCTATTATAGGAATAAAGCAAAACTAAGCATAGAAATTAGGGTGGATACTCATTCCTACATTGGGTGTTAATTGGCTTCTTTATCTTAAAATATTGGGCTTCCCAAATTGAAACTTCCGTAGTAAAGCAGCATAAAATATCTATTCCAAAGCACTGTTAAGGGTTGTGATCCTGGACATCACTTTACATATTTTTTCCAAGTCATCTGCTACATGACCACCTTGGAGATTTGTTAGACATGTGAATTGTGTTTGTATTCCTTCCCCAAATACTGAATGGATCTCTGAAGTGGAGCCAAAAAAAAAAAAAAAAAATTCAGATTTTTAATAAAACTCCAAAAGTACCATGTCTATTAATATGAGAATTGTTACTCAAAGCTCTATTCAACATCTACAGTTGTGATATGTTACTACTTGGCAAAAGCATGTGGTTGTCACAGGGGCTTATAAGCTGAGAAGTGTGGATAAAGGGAAAAAAAATAATTGCTTTCCACCTGCTTAAAAAACAGTGATTCTTTATATATATATATATATATATACACACACTTTTTATTGTCTAATTAATTTCTTTCTATTTTTAGTAGAGAACAGGGTCTTGCTCTTGCTCTTGCTCAGGTTGGTCTCAAACTCCTGAGCTCAAACGATCCTCCTGCTTTGGCCTTCCCAGAGTGCTAGGATTACAGGCATGAGCCACCACACCTGGCCAAATAGTGATTCTTAAAATGAATAATACAAGTTAGATAAACTGGCTTTAAAAAGCGGAAGAGTCTTCTAGTTTCCAGAAAGGGGCATCTAATGTCTGCAAAGATTACTAGACATAAAATCTAAAGAACTTGTCTTCAATGTGACTCTGGAAAGTTATTTAACTTCTGAACCTTAGTTCTTATAAGTATGAATTGTAAAAACAAACCCTGTGTTAAGTAATTCTTGTTAGAATATAGTGAAATATAGGTCATAAAAACCTGTTGATAAGCATTATAAAAAATGTATGGAGTACTTTTTTTCAGTAATCCTGAACAACCCTTCACAATTTAACCTAATTTTGTTCTAAATTATAGAATGACTAGAATATTTTTTTAAAGTTCTTTACATCCTTCCTGGACTTGACAGGTACTATTAAACCTTTTAACAAATTAGGGCTTGAAGTTTGCAGTTTATCAAATGTCATTTTGAAAACCAGGTATGGTGGTGCACATCTGTAGTCCCAGCTACTTGCGATGCTGATACAGGAGGATTACTTGAGGCCAGGAGTTCAAGATCAGCCTGAGCAACTTAGACTCCCCTGTACCTCCATCTCTAAAAAATTGTTTTAAATTAAAAAAAAAAAAAATAGTTGTGGTGGCTCACACCCATAGTCCCAGGTACTCAGGAGGCTGAAGTGGGAGGATTGCTGAAGGCCAGGAACTCAAGACCAGCCTGGGTGATACAGTGAGACCCCCATCTTAAAGAAAAGTTATTATCTTGACCTTTCACTATAAGGAAACTTTCATTATCTGCTACAACAGGCATTTTACATTGCTTTCAAAAACCTTCAAAGCTGTTTTTCTCCTACCATGGAGCAGAAGGAATAAAGATAAAAGGCTCATTGAGGACAAACTCCATGGTAAATAAAAAGCCACCATTTTTTTTCCCAGAGAAGGTAACTGTTAGAAGAACCTGGAAGAATTTCCACTGATGGCTACTGACTATTTACTTTTTAAACCCCGTTTTCTTTCTCCTGTGTTTGTGTCAGCCTGTTTCATACTGCTATAATGTTAGTCCAGTTTTGAAAGAATCCTAAGGTTGTGATTTAGAGAAATGGGTTGCCCTAAAGATGCAAGTTATGTCTTGTCTTTAGATTTAAAGCAAAATACAAAGACATTCCATTTAGTAATTACAAAAAAAAAACAAAAAAAAAATCCCAAAACCCTGTATCCAATGCAAATTTGAAAGCCCCTGAGGATCAATCAGGGTTTCCAGGAACTGGTGCAGTTTGGGAAACCCCAGTGGTGTGCCTCTGAGCCAGGAGGTTAGCTTGAGCTGTTCCCCAGAGTTTCTCTTCTCTCCCAGTGACTGTTGAGAAACCATAGAGAGCTGTGAGCATCTGGCCACCACCCTCTCAGCTAGCTCACTGTACCCATAGCCCTTCCAGAAAATACTAGGCAAAGCAGAGGTATCACTATGAGCTCATGAAAATTCCATGAATGTTCTCTGTCCCAAGCTATCTCCCTTCGCACAGGTTCCAAGTCAATTGGAAGGAGCTCAGAAGCATGGCTGAAACCTGTCAATATGCCAAAAAGGAATAAAAAGTATTTTACTTCCTTTCTAAATGAGTCTCAGGTCCTATGTTGAGAGTAGGCTCCTTAGAACAAAAACAGAAAGTGAATTTCAGAGATTGGGAGAGGACATTTTAAGAACTTGTCTGAGTAAAATGTACAAATGATCCTGCTGAAGTTTATGAAAAACAAATATTTTTAATATCAGCTGGAAACTATACTATTGGAAAAATTCCAGTAGATGGCATGAATGTTCAAGAAATTTCCATTCTTAACCGCTAGGCTGACTTGCCTTGAAAAAGAGTAACACTCGGACAGTCTGTTCTTATTGCTGTTGGTTAGTCCCTAATCATGGAGTAACAGATGCTGCCATGAGGGACTATTTTAAATACTCCAGTGATGCAGGGTCATTATGAGAGTCAAAACATGGAAAAAAATGTTTTGCAAATTATCAAATGCTATACAAATGTATCCCACTTTGTAATATTAATACAATTTTTTCTGCCATGTTTTAGTATTCAAAGCTTTAGCTTACACAATTTCAAAACATACTTGTTATCAAAAACTATTTTTTAATATTGGCCTGGCCTTCATTTTGATGATAACCTAAAGTCACAAAGAATTGTATGTCACAGTATGACTTTGAAGTTAGCCTCTTGAAGCTTCATTTCTTCATCTTTAAAATAGGGAGAATAATTTTTAGAGAATGTGTTTGAAGACTGTAAGCCGTATGGCATCCTAAACATGAAATATATTCCTATTAACTTGAATGAGGCTCAGCGAGTTACTTAACCAGTATTCTAGGCTCCAGTTGCTACAAAGTATTTATTTGTACCTTCACTTACCCAATCAGCAGGATTTGAGTGCCTGTTACCTGTGTCAGGCCATATACTAATAGCAACACCTGGTACCTATTTCTCAGCCAGATGAAGGGTGTTTGCAAAGCCCAGTAAAAGTACTAAATGCATCCTGCAGCAGAAAATGAAAGATAGGGGTGCATAAGCTCGTGAAACAAAATGAAAGGTCTTCCTTCTTCCAGCAATTGATTAATTTCTGAGTTAGAAAAGAGGAAACCTTTCAGATTAAATGAAAATAAGTCTATTTCCATATGCAAGAGATTTCTGAAATTGGATTAACCATTCATTCTAAAATAAGCTTCATCTGTCTCCCTTCCAGAAGCAAATATAAATCATTGATTTCAGGGCATATGGCAATAGGAACATGGACTCAAGTCTGACAACCAGGCCAAGTAGAGGACTTCATAACTGAAAGATGAGGAGCCCAGGCCCAGAGCTGCCTTTGCACAAGGAACTTTCCAGGTAAAGTGTTAAGCTGGA